ATGGTGTAATATGTCGTGTGTTGTTGTTCATCTGAGGTTGTATTTACCTACTTTTGAGAACTGCTAAGGACCAGATGACTATTATGTCGATTCGTAAAACCACAGAACTCAAAGAGGGTGTACTTTCTTTTTCACATGACTGTACATGCAGCCCTTTGATTGCTCTTGTGTAATGGCAAGAAGGCAAGGCGGAGAGATCAACCCAGGCAAAGTGTAAGAATCACACTTTCTGGTTTTCGGTCACAAGAAGAGGGAGGGCAAGGCCAGCCTTCTACAATCCCAACTGTACAGTTGGGACAATTGTACAATTCCTTTTACAACAAGGAAAGTTATTGCCCATTAAGAAGTAATTAATTAATGGACTAGTTTTCTTGGCAAGAGGAGGGTCACATCAATGCTCAGCTTCAGAAGAAATCCCGGTATGTTTAAAACAGACATGTTAGAGAGAAAGGGAGCACAGAACCTTTCTCCCTGAGAACTGGCTTTCAAGATTTGGAGGAACATTCAGGCCAATCTCTGAAATGCTACTGCTGAGACATTGGCAGATCATTATTGTGCCCTAATTGTATTTCTTTCAACTTAGCCTCGCTAGCAAATCTATCTCCCCAGTCCATGTGTCTTGTGTGCGCATATGCATGTGTGAATGTGTGTCTGTGAAGAGATAACTAATTTTAAGTAAAACAATTTAGAAAGTTATTTGAAGCTTTTTTCATGTAGGGTATGCATGATTCTGCATTTAAACCTCTGAGCTCACTTTGATTCTTGCAATGAAAACCTACGAAACACTTTTCTTGTAGCCTCTGTTCATTAGCGCAAGTTGTAACAAAGGGGAAAGCATGGAATAGCGGTAATGTTGTTGGAGTGGGCCTGGGAGAGGGCCAGGCTGATACCGCTACTCAACCACGGAGGTGACCGGGTAACCTTGACCCAGTCGCTCTCTCATAGCCCAACCTAGATATAAAAATGAAGACTGACCCCACATGTGCTACCTTGAGTTTCATAGTGGAAACATGGGACAGAAGCATAGTAAATTTATTTATTTATTTACCGCTTCAATCGAGGTGACTAAAGTGGTATACAAAACTAAAAGGACATTTTAGGATTTTTTTTAAAAAAAATGTATAATGCACAATGCAAGCCTAAGCATATTTAAAGAAATAAGGACAAAATAGACATTCTTGTATTTCTAACTTATTATCCCTGATCATTAAGAGTGCTCAGCGCATCCCACCTTCCTCCTCCTCCTTTACTAGAGTTTAAATACTAATGTTATCCCATTTCCAATCAGGATCATACTTATGTTCACACGTGGATCACGGAAGATTTTTTCATTCAGCTGATGAATGTGTTCGGCTGTGTGGTCACTTTTACCTGGTTTAAGTACTCTCCCTGATAACAAAACCTGTTAGAAACAGAGAGAAAACCACATACAGCACAGGACGCTTGGAATGATCCCATTCATGGCACGTATTACAACGGTGCAACTGGGGAGAACTGCTGTAGAATGCCTGGAAGTGCAAATGCAGCTCTTGGCTGAGGCTCATTAAAGTAGCTACATCTTTTCCCAGGAGTGAGCAGCTGCTATGGGCCACATTCTGCTGCAGCCATATGAATCTGTTAACAGCCCTGGCTGTTCCAAAACACTGCTTCCTGACTAAACCCAAAACATTGCCCTGCCCTTGCATTTCTGACTAAAGTTCACAATTGGACCTTTGCTTTATGGACTACCCAGGCTAAAGCAAACATTCAGTCACATGCAGTCAAGAGAGGCTTATTACAAAGTCAGTGCACACTGCACTGCAACCTTAATCCTTTCTAGGGCGAAAGAAATAAAGAGCTGAGTTTTGCCAAAGGCAAAGAAACAATATTTCTTCTTATTCATCTTATGGATCGGGGCGTCCACAGAGGTCAAAAAAGTCAAGATAGTGTCGCTGGCCAAATGAGCAAAGCCTGCCCCTTTTTTATCATATCACAGGCCACAAGTAAGTGCTGCATCTGTGTCAGCCCTTTGAGGCAGGGCAGGTGAGAGAACAGGCACCACCAGCAAAACTAGACCTCTCCTTAATTGAAACAGGCTATAGTGGCAGAATCTTGAAAGCTGAGAGTGTTTCCCCTTCCCTCCCCCTTATACTATAGAGCAGTGTTTCTCAACCTTGGGTACTTTAAGATGTGTGATGCCCAGAACTAGATGCAGTCCAACCAGCCCAAGATTCAATGCAAGGTTGGGACACAGGATTTCTCATAATGCAGCTCAAGATCACACTAATGGTTTTAGCTGGTTGCTTAAGCTCACGTTTAGCCCAATGTGGACTAGTCCTCCTAGATCCATCACACGTGGAACCAGACATGTTCCCAAAGAGTAGGCTAGAGGAAGAATGACTGACTGATTCATTCATGTTCTAAATTGGCACAATCAAGTGAGTTGCAGTGACATGCAAAGATAATGGCAAAATAAATGAACATAAAATATCCTCAATATAATAATTACAAATTTTTTTAAAAAGGGTAGGGCAAGGCCCAAAGGTCTGAAAATTAAAAAAAAAAAAAAAGAGGAGATTCAGAGAGCACATTAAGAGGAATTTCTTAAGATTAAGACTCAGTTTGCTTAGTGGACTCCCCCATCCCATGCTGGATTTTCAAATAGGGTTGTTGGGGGTGGCTTAATGAATCCTTGTACTACGCAGGGGGGTGGACTAGATCATCTAGTACAGTGTTCCTCAACCTTGGCAGCTTTCAGATGGGTGGACTTCAACTCCCAGAATTCCCCAGCCAGCAAGGTTGTAATTAGTATTAACATGAGGTTGTTAGCATTAGAGGATCTTGCTGTTCTGAAAAGAAATGGTTCTTCTGAAGGAGAAGAAAACTAGATTCCAAAGGGTTGCTTTGGATTTGGGTCTCAGGTTGGACCTTCTACTCTGTTTTTCTTATAAACATGTTTTGTGAACAATCACTTTTCCCCTGTGGCTAGTGACCTAAAAGAAGGGTGGATAAAATATGTTCTAGTTCAAAAAAGCCACCGAAGTCTGCTCTTTTCCCACTTTTTGTGAACTACTTACATTGTCAAGAACTAATATCCTCCCTTTTCTTACAAGCCGCAAACATTTCTCGTAGTAATCGTCGTAACTCTCTTCGTCCGCATGGATGAAAGCAAGGTCAAATGTTCCAGTTTCACCGTTTGCCAGAAGTTCATCTACACATAAAAATCAGAATAGTGTTCTTTAAAATGCAAAAGATTCCCTTCTGTCTACCTTCCCTACATGGTTGCAGTCTATCTGGGTAGCATCGACTAGTCCAACCTGCAAAGAGAAGGGGATGAGAAATGATGAGAGTCATGAATTCCAGTTTCTTCTTAAGCCAAACCAACCTTGCTGTTTCGACATGACTCTACTTGTGAAACTACAGGTGTGGGGGCAGAGACACTATTCTCTATTTTCCTTGGTGTCCCTTCGCCATGTCAGCTCTCCCCATGATGGTGGGTGAAGCATCACATCTGAGAAGGCTTCCAGATGGGAACCTGCAGCTCTTTTAATCCAAACTGAATATACTCACTGTACCTGCTGGCACCACAAATGCTCATACAGTTTGTCACAAATTCCAATGGAATTGTGATAACCGTTTAGTAAAACATGTAGGAGAGTCAACTGGTGTAGTGGTTAAGGGCACCTGGCTAGAGAGCAGAAGACGGTGAGTTCTAGTCCTGCCTTGGGCATGAAGCTGGCTGGGTGACTTTGGGCCAGTCCCTCTCTCTCTGCCCTGGGAAGGAGGCAAGGGCAAACCATTTCCAAAAACCTTGCCAACCTTGGTCAGGAGTCAACAATGACTTGAAGGCAGAAAAAAAAAAGTGCAGATTCTCAATAGTAAGCACAAATGTATTTCAAATTTCAAGGTCACCCAACTCCTTGATGGCTCTGGGTGGCTTACAAATAAAAAGATAATATGTATAAAAATGAACACAACCAACCAGGAGAACAGAACACCAACAATAGGTCACCCATAATCAAGGGGGCTTCACAATCATCCCATCTCCAAGACAAAGGAGAACAACCAGGTCTTTATCTATTTCCTAAATGACAATCAGGGTGGGAGTCACACAAATCTCTGGAGGGGGATCATTCCAGAGGGCTGGAATTGCAACAGGGTAGGTGTGCTTCCAGGGTCCTGCAAGATGACACTGTTTAATTGACAGGACCCGGAGATTTTAAAGGAAGATTTTACCTTTATTGAGTCAGAAATACTCGCTTCTCTTCTGCAAATCAGCTGGAGGAAAACTTGTAGATCCCAACATACTATCTGGGATACCTCCCCACCCCCCATGGGCAGTACTGAGCTGAATGGATCAGCGTGTGATTCTGCATAATGGAACATAAGCTGTTCCACTCTTACCGTCCTCCAGATTCACTGGTGAATCAGGTGGCATATAGATTCCTCTAATAAAAAAACAATTCAAACTAGAAATAGAACAACACAGAAAAATTCTGATTCCTTCATACTATTTACTCAGGGCTAGTTTTTCTATAGACAAAAGACCAAGAATAACCAGTTTGTGGCTTCTTACGCATCACCTAAATTCACAGTCTTAGGGAATTATCATCAGCCGTCAGCCAAGCTTTCAGGCTTAGAGGCCAAAGATGCCTTACCAGAGACGATGCAAACTTAAAGTGGAGGGCTGCTGCTCTTGTGTGGCCTTCCACAAAGTCTCTGGCAGCCCACTTCTGGAATCCAGATGTTGGAGCAAACCAGTCTTCCTAACTTCTACTCCCTCCATGCTGACAGGGGAATTCTGGGAATTGCAGTCCATACATCAGAGGGTACCCCAGCTGGAGAAGGCTGGAGCAGATAGCTCCTTCATCTGATCCAGATTATTCTGCCCAGAAGTCTCTGGAATAATTCTGAAGAAATTACTAAGCCTAAGTACAAGCAGTTGTGGAACCTATGCAACATCGTTAGGGAGAAACTTCTTCCCTGGATCCCAATTTACAGGTAATACAACCAACTGCTACAATCCTTTGAAATTTTATTAATCTGTGGCTTTAGAGTGTTTTACTAAGAGGAGAAGAAAACAATTTACAATCAATCAAGCAATTTATCTTGTTGGTTTACATGCATTATATCAACTTTTCCTACATATTTCATTACATCTGCATATTAGGTTGAACTTATACAGGACAGCAGTTTGGACGAAGAGAGGGTGTTTCTAACTCTTGTATAGCCTGTGCGTCTTCCCTTGCCTGTAGTTCTTTGTCTTATGCACTGTATCTGTAATTGTGATGGCTTCTACCTTATTCTATTGAGCACCATAATACGGGCAATCCTTGTCTTACGACCATTTGTTTAGCAACTGTTTGAAGTTATAACAGTGCTGAAAATAGTGACTTATGACCAGTCCTCACATTTACAACCGTTGCAATGTCCCCACAGTCACATGATCAAAGTTTGGGTGCTTGGCAACTGGCATGCATTTACAACGGTTGCAGTGTCCCAGAATCATGTGATCGCAATTTGCAACCTTCCCAGCTGGCTTCTGACAAGCAAAATCAATGGGTAACTGCATGATTCACTTAATGACACGACTCACTTAATGACCACGATTCACTTAATGACCACTGCAAAAAATGTAAAATCAGGTGTGGTCATGTGATGCCTCGCTTAATGATGAATTTTCCTGTCCCTATGGTGGTCATAAGTCTAGGACTACCTGTATGACTTTTTTATGCCCACTAAAGGTTACTGATTTCAGGCTCCAGCGATATGGGAAGAAAACAACTATAGCCAAGACACCACACCAGAGCTGTGGTTCCAGAGCTGCAGCCCCCAGAGATCTCCAGAATCACATTTCATGGCCAAATCAAATTTCTGGCAGTGTGATTCTTTTGCATTTCCCCCCTTGAGGATGACTGAAAATAAGTATGTTAAGTGATTATTAAATTTCCAAAGACAGACCAGCATTTCAGAGGTCAAATCTCTCAACAGAAGCGTAGGTTTAAAAAAAATCACCCATTCTTGCATTATATAAAAGGTGTTTTGTACAGTATCTTGGACACTTGGGGTGTAACAGAGAAGTCTAGGCTAAACACATTAATCCTGTTTAAACTGCTTTGCTTGGTATGGAAGTGTTCAAGGTTATCTTTTAACAAACTAAATGTAAATACATAGCTAGGAACAAAATAACCACCTACTTTTTTTTCCCTATTAAGGTCTGGAAACATCAATGCATTTTACCAGGTTTAAAATAATCACATTATGATTTCACTACTTAAAACTCACGGTAATGAGTTTTAAATGTAGTTTTCATTTTTCTTTACATCTCAGCTCAATGGCAGCTCTCCAAAACAATGGGACTAAAGTTAGTCTTGAGGTGTCCTGCTTAATTACTGCACCTTGAAGAATTCAGGAACAGTTGATCATATCAAAGGGATTAGCAAGAAGGCCCTGATCACTCTCGCTAATGTTGAGTAATACCATGCAAGTGTCCCTTTAGAAAGGGGACATTTTTACCCAATTCACATTGGCCATGAAAAAGACAGACAGACATTTATTTCCATTGTGGGCAATGGAACTGAAGCTCCTTTGGCATCCTTGTTCTTGTTAATGCACACGAACTTTATATTCTCTGATTTTTTAACTGAACAATCCATCTCATTAAATCTGTAGGCCAACTTTCTCTATGAGAGTAAAGGAGCACATGTGAATGTCTCCGGTCATTTTACCTTCTCAAAAACAGTCCTGTGCGGGAAGCTGGTAGAAAGTTAGTGAGTTTCAGTGCCTGAACAGATACCACCCAAAACCCCAACCCTCCCAATCAAATCCTTTGCTTCTACCTACCTAACGTTTCAATGGCTGGTTTTATCCTTAGATCAATCTTATGTAGCACTCTGGCCTGAAACAAAAGAAAATAGGTCAAAGATTTCTCAAGGAAGGGGTCGGCAACATCTGAGGTCCCAGATGCTCAACCTCCCAATCTTTGTGTGTGTGTGTGTGTGTGTGTCAGGAGACCATCCACTAATGTGGTGGCATTTCCAGTAAGGGTGGGACTGAACTTTTTTAGTCTACTTTTTTCCAGATTTTTTATGGATCCAGGCAGTATTTCTCAACCTTGGTAGCTTTAAGATGTGTGGACTTCAACTCCCAGAATTCTCCAACCAGCATGCGTCTAAGGTTGGGTAATAGCAGTACCTCAAGTCCTCTACCTGTGGGAATGATCCTACTCTTTAAACCCTCTTAAATGCAAAAGAGGCCTACATCTGCCCCCAAATGATAACTCTGAAGTGTTTAAAGGTAGGGAGGGGAGTAGAAGGCTACCTTGCCTCACAATTTGAAGCACACACACCATATCTTGGTAGCACAGCCCTGAGACGATGGGGGTGATAAATGGAGTGCTAGAAAGTAGTATGCTACTTGTGCATTGCCGATCCCTGCCTCTGAGGAAAAACATCTGATTAATATGGGACAAAAGTCTCAATCCAACCGCTCTGTGATGCCTCTGCTGTCAGCTGGAGGTCACAAGACATCTCCTGCTGGTCCTCCTAGCCTCATCATGTGGACATGGAAGTTCTGTAGTCCCTCAGCTTAAGAAATGATCATCCAGACAGACTTGCACAAACCAGAAGCATATTTCTCAAATCCCAGAGCACAGAGCATCACCAGTCATTTATTTCCTCATTAAAAAATAATAAATGTGGGGATGTAAGAGTTACTGTAGCATTGAGAACGTGTCCCTTTTGGTGTCACAGATTTTCTTAAAAAAAAAAAAAAAAGCTAGCACACCAATGACTACATTGAGTGCTGTTGTGCAAGATAGGAATTTTGTATTTAATATTCCAATGATTAACACAAAATTTTGATAAAACCAAGAAGCAGCTGAGAGACATTCATACCATAACATGAGCACCAACCACCACGGCATGAAAAAGGGTAAATGGTCAAAAATGGGCATGATCCTCCCCATTTAAAAGCCCCTTTGTTTCAACAGCAGGAGTCAACATCCTCATTTGATGTGTTCAAATAAATTCAGAGAGGCTTTGATGTCTTTAACTGTGACACGACCAGGAGCAGCAGGAAGACTTTCTGCTTCCTTTGAGAAGAGAATAGAGAAACACTTTGGTGGCCTAAAGATCTGTTTTCAGGCCTTTTGCTTCACAGAACAGAGAGGGAAATGTTCTTCAGACATGGGAAAATCTGGATACGATGCCAATGGTGGCAAAACTCCATCATCATAAAAAATATTTGGGGGGGAGCAGCTATAATGTTATTAATATTAATGTAATATATCTGATTAGATAATCATATATTATCTCATTAGGTAATATTATCTTATTCGATGATAAGAATTCTAGGAGAGAAATTTAGGTAAGAGAAAAAGCAGAGGAGTCATGGGGTGGGGTGGTCAAAATGACAAAGGATCAGTGTTGGCTTTGACTGCAACCATCTGCACCCAACCCTCTTGCAATTTTGACACTGCCTATGGATGTCCCTAAGAATAACCATAGGGGAAAGGGTTAACCACCATTTTCCATTAGTACTGTTCTCCTAATCAGATTTGTAGATCCCTGAAACCCAACTAATCAACCAAATGTCAGGCAATACTAACAATACCTCTCCCATGGCATGATTTAGCCCCAATTCTCCGAGTGATTTACTGTACCTCTTTCCACAATGGCTTTCCAGTATTGGCCAAATCTTCATTTATGTCACAGGCAACAATTTTGCCATCTTCTGGTAGGACTAGAGCTATGTTTAAAGTATTGTATCCAGCAGAAACTCCTACAGAGCAATTAAAAAAACATGGTTGAATGTGGTTCTGATTTCCAAACAAATAAGAGCATGTTGGTTTCATACCCCATTCTTAATAGCAAAGTAATACCTGCTTTCTCCTCTAACAGCCTAGCTCTTAGGTTCTGAGGAACCACAATTGTTCATTTACAGAGGAAGGGGATGGTTAAAGGAACCGCCTCTTGGTCCTGTCTTGCTAGAGTGTACATTCGGTCGCCAATTCAGATGGCTTAAAAATAAAGGAGGACAGTTTTGATGTCTGTTTCCTGCTTTTGGAATTAAGAGAACTTCTCTTAAATACTAGCTATGGGGGAGGAACAAGAGAACCTCTCACACATACACCTTCTACTCTGATGAGCTCTCAAGGCCACCAATCAGATTTAAAAACGAGAATGGAAATGCAGGAAACTAAAAATTAAAATTAATGATAAAATAAATACTAAAATTATCAAGTAGTGGTACCTGGCAAGTATAGAAGAACTCCTTCTTAGCAGGAGGGGAAGAGGACAGTCAGTCAGGGGTTCATCTTCCCCTGGGAAACAGAGTGGCATGTTTGCAGAAGTGCACCCCCCTGGATGCTGGCTTGGCACAGAGGCATCCCTGCTGCGCCCAGGCCACGGCTGGGGTCTATGCTGTTTGTCATGCGAGCTTCCCTCTCATTAAGCCCCACCATGGGCCTGCTTGCAAAGAGCTCAGATTTGGCAACTAAGCTCTGGAATGCAATTACCTATTCTTCACACATCGTGCCAAACCAGAATGTGATTTGTGTCTTTTTGTTTAGCCTGATATATAAGCCCATCCGTTAGGGCTTAACATTGTATGGATTATCAACTAAAGATGCTCTTAAAAAAAAGCAAAGACTGGCTTACTCTACGTAGGAATTAGATCTCCTATTTACCAGTGAAGCTTCATCACAAACTGACATCTTCATGATGGTTGGGTAGTTGTCCTAAATGCCTTAACATAGGACAGAGGTCGACAGGTGGCTGTCAATATCGTTTCCCGTGGCCCTTGGCCCAATACTTTTTTGTTTGTTTGCACTAGGGTAGACATGTTCCTTGCCAGGGGCATCTGCAAGAAGGAGTCAAAATCTGCAAGATGGCCGTGTAGTCATGCTTGAAGCCCCGCCCTTTGGTATGCATGTGCAGTACAAAAGGGGAGAAGCTTTGATCTTGATGTCACATGGTCATCTTGCAGATTCTGACCCACCCCCTATAGATGTCCCTTTAGCCCACTCTATGTAGAGGGCCAGAGAGAGCAAAACTCTGTCTGTCATGTCGGGTCAGAAGGGGAAAGACAGCAAGTAATCAAGACAAAAATGGGGAACAATCTTCTTGGCTTTAGCTCCACTTATCATGGGTGCATTCTGTGGTTCCCCACAGGCAGATACTATAGAATTGCAACCTGCCCAATAAAGCCAAGCGTATATACCTCTGGTATAAGCGACAGCAGGATTAGGAGTCACTTCTTTAAACAAATACATTCCTCAAAGTGGTTGGATTGCTAGCTTTCTGTTTGACGCTGGCGTGCTTCTTGAAGATGTGTGCAAGGAGACCATGCTTCATCTGCTTTCAGTTGACCAAACAGCAACTTCAAAGGGGGGGGGGGTTAGTTCAAAGCATTATTGAACCAAAACATCCTTTCAAGCCACTTTAGAGGCAGTAAAGAACTCGGATTATTGTATATGGTCTTGAGGGAAGAAACTCGTTAGGAAAAAAAAATACTACATTTGACACAGAAGTTCTAAACCTCAGAGCTTAAAACCACAGGCAAGGCATATTGTTATGCAAGAAAAATATTTAAAAAATATGTTTTCCAACCTCAACGCACGAAAAGAAGGATAAATGTAGGTGTGAATAAACAGATGCTGGAACTGAATTGAAAAATGGGTTCTAGATGGATAGATGATTAGCATGTGACCTACAGACTGCCCAGTTTATTGTGGGACTGAATCTGAAATCTTCCAGCAGCCCGTTTTATAGACAGGCTCACTTACCTATCTCAATTACCTTTTTGGCTCCAATAACCCTGATCAGATTTGCCACAAATTGGGCCTGATCACAAGACACCCACAGTTGTTTGTCAGGAAGGGCTGATGCAACCTGGAAAACCAGAACAGGTCTGTATGTTACAAGCTATTCTGCAGTTCCACAAATATCACCCCTGACATTACCTAATAGTGCTGGTGGGGGGACTCTGGAGACTAAGAATCCATGCGTGCCCCAGGGTCTAGAGGAGACCAAGTCATGGGTTAAGTGCAAGCCAAGAATACACGTATGCAGTCCTTAGGGCTGGGGGAGATTTCTTGCAAGGAAAACTAACTGAATATAAGTCAATGAAAACTAGTTCTTGCAAGGAAAACTAACTGAATATAAGTCAATGAAAACTAGCCATTCTCCGTGTCCCCATCACACAGACTGCAGCCCAAACAACTTTGCCTAGGAGTAAGACTCACTAAACTCATTCAGGCTTACCTCTGAAGAGACCCCTGAAAATGATGGACTGAAAAAAATGGACAGGGGATCTTTCCTAAGAGATCTGTGGGACAACTGTGGAGAAAGGGGAGAGTTTAATTCTTATCCAGTGCATGTTTCCACTGAAAGAGTGGAGGCAGGACTAAGTAGGGACAGGATCAGGGGCAGAGACTGCCAGAAGGGTCAAAAAAAGTCAAGATGGCAGCTACAACTATGTAACCACAGTTCTGCCTATGTTTTACATGCGCCACACATCTCCACTTTTTTTACATTCCCTGTGGCTGATACTGGCATGGCCAATTCTCTTGCCCTTCTTCCTTAGGAGGTACCAATGCCCTAGAATGGCAGCCTGAGTGAGTCTACAGAAGGAATTCAGTCCCTTGTTGCCTTCTGCTCCTCCGTCTCAGCCTAGCCAAGGGCAAGCAAAAGTGAGAACTGTGCTTCAAAACATCTGGAAGGTACCGGGTGGTCTAGCCATAGTTTATACTCTCAACAGATAGGATTCCCAGAGAGGTTTTCTACAGTTTTTATTTCTCCCAGAAAAGCTAAGCTGAAGCCATCCTGCTCCAGAAGACAGGCAGAGACTGGCACAAAAGAGCTCTTGTTTATGAGGAAAGCCCGATCTTCAGCTTTCCTCAAGCTGGATCTCCTCAATATGGATAAACTTCAACTTCCAGTGTTCCCCAGCCAGCAGGGTCTCTGCCAGAATTCTGGGAGTTCAGGTTCACTCACCTGGGGACCATCCAGCTTGGGAAAGGCTGACACTGCAGATACAGCATATTAATACATGGAATCGTACTCCTCACACAGTCAGTGAAAAACAACTTGACTGCAAATCTGGCAGTTATGCAAACCAAGGCAGATGGAAACAGGCCAGGCCTCAAAAGAGGGACCAAGGAGGAGAGAGGAGAAAGAGAAGAGATACAAGAAGTTTTGAATTCTGTTCCTGCACAGAGAGGGGATGTTTCTTAAATACAGCAGCAGTCGAAATTCTTGGGTGATGGCTTCTTACTTTCTTCACTAAATATTACTTTATGGAAGTTCTCGGATTTCTTCAGCCTAAGCGGTCTGCTCCTACTTGTGAGGTGAAGCCTGGCAGCATCTTTCTTATTAAGACATCTTAATTTAACAGAAGATTTTGGGTTTACTGGACACCTCTGTGTTTGACATCATTATGCTGGAAGTGTATATGATGACGGGGACACTTACATATATGCCATGGTTTAATACCTGGAAGTTCATTAATATGGTTCTGGGAAGAGTAAAATGGTTTAAAAATCTCTATGTGATTTTGAATGATATACAGAAAATTGGACTCACTTGTTATTTGAAGAACTGAGCATGTAGCAACAGAGACTACTCTTTTACAACAGAAAGACAGATCTCCCTCCCACCCCCCGGATTTATAATCTTGGATTTATGATATAAATTCACTCTCTGCTTCTGAATTGGTGATATGGTAATGTAATGGAAAGACTGGTCAATACTACTCCATGGGGTCATGGTTTCATGTTATATTTAAAAACAGCTCTTTTCTGTATGTGTCATAATGTATATTTTTCCTTTTCTCTATTTTTGGGGGGGGCTGTATCTTTTTTTTCCTTTATCTGTACATTATAGCAAAGTTTTTTTTTTAAGATATAGCAGATGAGTAAGAAAGCTAACTTGGAAACTCTGTTCACCATCTATTTTTTATATGCTCAAGTTTTCTTTCTTTTTAAAATGTAACATTATTTTTGAACGGAAAGAGCCCAGCCACTGTTTATAACATCAGTGGAAATTAGTGCAGAGGGCATCTGCAGGAGGTCAAAATCTGCCAGATGGTGGGCACAGTGCCATGACTGAAGCCCTGTTCATTTGGTTCATGCGTGCACGTGCCTAGAGAAAGGGCAGGGGTTCAGCTGCAGTAGGGCATCCATTACCTTGAAGACTTGGGCTGGATAACCCAGAGGCCAGAAGTGTTGGGAAGAGAGGAGGGGGAGGAGGTGGTTCTGGGCATGGCCAAGTATCTGAGGTCTCTTAGCTCCCCTCCAGCCCATGTCTGAGCACCAACAATCTAATCTTAATCTCTGTTTCAGCTCATAGCATCAAGTCTTTGGAATTTTTCTCCAGGAGAGGTGTAACTGGTGCCCTCTATTATGTAGGTATGTCTGTATGCCCGTATGGCTCTGAGAGGCAGCTAACGTTTTTAAACGCCCAGGCCTTCCGTTTTGGACTGAAATGCTCTCCACCCCCAACTGCAGCTTCTTTTTATTGCTTCGTTTTAATTACATTTCATGCTTTTTGTTTCATAGCCTCTTCCAGGAGCTCTCCTAAGCAAGTGTCTGAGAAATAATTACATTTCATCCAAGAATTAGGTCTTTGCCCCAGTCAGGGGCAAGTGCAGTCTTGATTCAGATGGAGAAGAGCAGGGAGGGAGAAACAACCTTCGCCACCAACTCTGTGCGCTGGCAGGGCAAGACAGACCATGACAACATCCAGCTGGCCATGATTTTTATGCAATAGGCTTCTCAGCCCCCACAACCGAGGCTGAAATGCCCGTCTGCCACTGCCCCCTTCTGCCACGTTTCAATCTGATTTATTTCTGAAGTGTGGGGACACCTCCCATCATCAATCCTGCCCCCTTTTCACCTTCCTTTAAGTGCCAGGAGAACCCCCATTTTAGGCAGCCTTTCTACAACATGGTCTCTGCCGTGGATGGAGAGGAGGTCAGTCAACCATGTGGATGGTGCAGCTGGTGAGTTTCAATCCAAACAGACCCAGGCTGTTTGGGGTGAGATCTAACCCCTGGGGGTCAACTGACCTCATCCTCCTGTTCAAATACCTACCCTGCATGACCCACTTAAATGGGTCATGGAAACATGGGCCGGTATAAGCCTTGTATGGTATTTGGAATGTCTATTCTAATTCTCTCACATTCAGGGACTGAAAGGGCCCCCCTTTAAACAGAAGAGGGGAGTTAGCTTGGGGTGTTTGCGAGTCCTCGAGTGAGCACTGAGGAACAGCCACGAGAGGCTGAAGAGAGGTCAGTCAGATCCGCTACAACAGCGACTTACCAATCTCAGCTTCTTTAAAAGAGGGTGCTCGCGTATGGAGTGGTCCAATACATATTTGTGTAGGTGGCTGTTCCCTTGTAAGAGGCTGCGTGAATTGCTGGACGTGCCAAAGTCAAGAAGCTCTGAATGGTATCTTCTGCCTTTCAAAAGCAAATCAATACAGCCTCAGTCTAAAGACATACAGTACATAGTTTTGAAAGGCCTGATAAGAACAAAGGGTAAATTGAGGTCAGCCAAGAAGAGTGGGTCTCTGGAACAATCCTCATTCACACCACATACTTATCCTGGTTGCTGAATCTGGGTGGTGGCTGAAGATCAATTAACTCATTTTCTGCTACTTGCATCCAAAAGTGAGCAGATAAGTTGGGATCATACAATACAATAAGCCAGTGTTTCTCCACCTTAGCGACTTTGTTGAGTGGCCTTCAATTCTCAGAATTCCCCAGCCAGGTAGGAACAGTGACCAGCTGGGGGATTCTGGGAGCTGAAGTCCACTCAACTTAAAGTTGCAAAGTTTGAAAAATGCTGCTGTAGAGCTTTTGGGCACTTGGAGCCCTTTTCAGCTCAAACTTTCTATTCGGGAGACTGCAGAGGATTAGGATGATCTTGGAACTGGGGGTGGAGAATAAAAAGTTGGGGGTCCCTGAAATCTAGTCCCCCCTCCCCAGTTCAGGCGGAGGGTCCTCTCCCTTCCCTTCTCCAGTTCGGAGCGTCCCCGGTTGGAGCGCTGGCCCGTTCCGAGCTGCAACGCCCCCGAGGACCGCTAGGCGGCAGCGGGCAGACGATGGCCTGCCTCCTTTTGCTGCCATCAGGTGGCCCGCGGGCGCAGCCCCTTCCGAAGGCGCCCCCCGACGGCCACGGGGGGCAGCAAAGGGGTGCCCGGAGCTCCCCAGCGCGGCTTGGGTAGGCTCACCTCGGGCGCGGGGAAACTTGCTTCGGGCGGGCCTTCTTCCGCCCACCCACCGGCCCGCTGGCGCCGCAGGGCTCCCTTG